ATTCTGTGGCTGGGGTTTTCTATAGTGGCTAGGGTTTTGGTGCCATTGAAGTTGATGCTATGACCTGTGGCTTCCATGTGTTGGACTAGTGAGGAAGTGTGTTCCAGCTTTTTGACTGCATTTCTGTGTTCATCCAGGCGGGTACTTATTCTTCTATTGGTCTGTCCAATGTATGTGGCCGGGCATGATGCACAGGGGACTTCGTATATGCCTTGGTTTTCCAGGTCAATTTTATCTTTGGGGTTTCTAAGGATGGCTGCTATTTTTCTGTCTGTTTTGAAGGCAGTCTTGATGTGATGTTTGTGTAGTATCTTACTAATTTTGTCTGTAGTACCTCTTACGTAGGGCAGGACAGCTGTTCCATAGGTCTGTTCATCTTCTGGGTCTCTATTATGTCTCAGTGTGTTTTTGTGGATCAAGCCGGTGATTTTGCTTTTGTGGAAGCCGTTGGCTGTCAGTACTTTAGTCAGGGTGCATAGTTCAGTCTTAATGTGTGTCTTGTCTGCCAGGCGTTTGGTTCTAGTAATTAGTGTTTTAGCCACGGAGTTTATCTGTGCTGTGTGGTGGTGGGATTGGGCGTTGAGGTAGCGGTTGGTGTGTGTTTTCTTCTGGTATACGGTGTGTCCTAGTGTGCCATCTGTTTTTTTTTTGTAGATTAGTACATCTAGGAATGGTAGTTGTTTGTTTGTTTCCGTTTCCATGGTGAACTTGATTTTGGGGTGTATGCTGTTTAGGTGTGTTAGGAAATTGTTTAGGTTTTCTTTTCCATGGGGCCAAATCACAAATGTGTCATCAATGTATCTTAACCATAGTTTGGGTTTGTGGATGGCATTGGCCAGGGCTCTGGATTCGAATTCTTCCATGAACAGGTTTGCAATGACGGGTGACAGTGGTGATCCCATAGGGGCTCCTTCAATTTGTTTGTATCTTTGTCCTTTGTATATGAAATATGTGTTGGTTAAGCAGTGTTCTGTTAGTTCCATGAGGTGTTTAGCTTTTATATATATATAGATAACAAGATATATGTAATAATAAGAGGGAGGTTTAGAAGTTGAATGGCGGTAGTATCAGATACGTTTAAAACAATATGAACAATGAAAATGAAATATAATAACTATGAGTAATATTATGTTTATTTGTACTAAAATGTATGATACCCTGGTATCACACACTGTTCACGCATTGATATATATATAAGCAATATAAAATAAAAAACTTGATTAAAAAAAATTCTGATGCTTGACAGCCGGCATGTATTTTTGATAGTTGCAAGTGTTGGAAGAAATATCCTTCTGGGTTCAGTTCCAAGTGGGGAAAAAGACAGTGGATTCATGGGAGTTGCGTGGAAAGAAGGTTTAATGGTGGACAGGATCACATGCCTTGGAGCTCCTGAGGGAAAAGGACAAAGATGCTAAGAGTCCCTTGGTTTTATACTCTCTTTTTGGCCCCGCCTTAGTGTTTCCTTTTCCTGTGTATGAAATGTATCCCATTGGCTGTCAGACTCCCAGGGGCGGGGTCTTACCTAACTTTGTAGGCTTTGTCTGGATTGCATGGCTTCACCTGAGTGCTGGCTGATGCAATCTTCCCAGGCCAGGTGGTGAGATGGGTAGAGGCCTTTGTTATGTGGAATACTCTGGCCCAGGCCTTAATGGCCTGCCCATTAACAAAGGTGTGGGGGGGTGAGCTTCTGCTTCTGAGGTGAGCTTCTGCTTCTGAGTTTCTACTTCTCTTTTTAGGGGAAATATTCTGCCTTTTTTAGTATATCCTAAAATATTTCATTTTCCTAGGAGAGGGGTGGGTGCTAACTTTCTACACAAGTGTCCTGAGGTCATGTGATCACCTTTTGTGACCTTCTGACAAGCAAAACCAATGGGAAGAGCCAGATTCACTTAACAACCATGTTACTAATTTAACAACTGCAGGGATTCATTTAACAATTGTGGCAAGAAAAGTAAAAGGCGGGGGGACTCACTTAACAACTGTCTCATGTAGCAATAGATATTTTGGGCTCAATTGTGGTTGTAAATTGAGGACTACCTGCACTATGGACTATTGTAGAAGAGAGGCCATGACAAACTGCTGAAATCACACAAAACCTGGCAATCTCAAAAGATTTGGGTCCATTTTGTTTTCCCCCAGGGTGTAAAAAAAAAACTTCCCAACCTTAATAATAAAACACATAGCAACTGCCTTGTTTAGCAATATAAATTTTTCAGCTCAGTTGTGGTTCTGAGTCGAGGATTACCTGTATCCACAGGTGAGAGCCCGTGGAAACCCCCCCAGCTGTAAATGAAGAGTGGAAAATCAGAGATCAACCGGTCCCACTGATCTTTTTCTCTCTTTTAGCCTGTCGCCGAGTGGTGTCAATTACCTCCCAAGGATGCTGCTAAGATGCCTGAAAGTGCTTGGAAACTGTCTTTCTACATCATCTCCTGGTTGTACGGCACTTACTTGCTCTTCTTTGCTGGATACCCCTTTTTCCATGATCCACCTTCTGTCTTTTATGGTATGCTAAGCATTGTGGCCATATTGAGTGGGTGGGGGTAGGTGGGAAAGCGTTGAGAGTAGCCATGTCCAACCTTGGCAACTTTAAAATCTTGTGGACTTCAACTCCCAGAATTCCCCAGCCAGCCAAGCTGGCTGGGGAATTCTGGGAGTTGAAGTCCACAGTTCCAAGATTGGACACCCCTGATTTGGGGAATGTTTGATCAGTAGTGGGATTCAAATTTTTTTACTACTGATTCTGTGGGCGTGGCTTGGTGGGCATAGCAGGGGAAGGATACTGTAAAATCCCCATTCCCTCCCCATCCCACTAACCTGCTTTCCAGCTCCGTTCTCCTGTGCAAGGCAGAGAATAGATGGGGGCTAGTCAGAGGTGGGATTTGCCGGTTCTCCAAACTACTCAAAATTTCCGCTACCGGTTCTCCAGAACTGGTCAGAACCTGCTGGATACCACCTCTTGTGTTTGATGTTGGGTCATTTACATTTGGTAAGAGAGTCTAATGCTGCCTCTGCAGTTTGAAAGGAGTCCTCATGTCATGTAACCCAGGAATCTGGAAGGAGACCTGCCATGTCGCCTCAAAACCTTGTTTGTTTTCATGCTTCCGGCCTTAGTTGTGGGAAAGAAGAGCATCCTTAGAAACAAGTTTCTCCCATTGAGGAGAGCCCTTTCATTTGGAGGCTCGGCAGCAAGTTTTTGTGGCAGAAACAAAATTATTAAGAGGATTGCAATTTAGTCTTTGGGGTTAAACATTTATAAAGCGAAGTTTTGCCTAGACAGGGTGCCTGATTTCTTAAAAAAAAAATCAAGTCTTTTATTAACTGTAAACTACTAAAGGTTTTCAGAGATAAAAATTAGATAAAATGCATGGATCTCTTTTACAAAAGCATTTTTTTCAGGTTGGCAGTGCTGTTCTTTTACTTAAGAGTAGATAAGGAGAGTTAATAGCAGTCAGGGTTTTTATGTGAGTCACCTTCCAGAAGTGTTAGATTTCCAGTGAAATGAGGTTGCTTAGTTGAGGAGGATGGGCATTGTAGTGCAGGTTGGTAGTGGCTTGTTAGTCTGAAAGGAATGAAACCAACAGTCCTTTGTTCAGGAAAACACTTTATTTAGTGTAGAGACATTTGATAAGCAAATTAATAAAACAGACATTTCTGAGGATATCTCAATACTTATGCTGTATGTTTCATGCTGTAATAAATTTGTGGACATCAGTTTTAAAAGCTGATACCTCCCTAAGCTTATTATCACAAGCTTCTTTGCGTAATGAATTAAAATAACTATATATTATAACAGTAAAGAAAGCTTTGCCTAAAGTTATAAAAAAAAGTAATCTAATTTAACACATTTCCTGTGTGAATAAGAGATCTGTTGTTGTCTGAAATATTTTTTTAATCATTAAAAAAAAGCAAGCTGTTCGTGCTGCGGGTTTATGTTTTTAGAAATTGACTTCATCGGGTGATTTATTTTTTTCTCCCCAGAATTCAAAATATGACCCAATTCCTGTAATTTGCATCTTTCCTGACACTTCATCTCAATTGCAGACCTCTTGACCACAATGCTGCATTCAACTTTTGTGCATTAGCTGTTCTAACAGTTCAAAAGCTTCCACCCGTAGTCCTCGACTTACGACCGTAATGGAGCCTGATCATCATAGTCGTGACAGTTGTGAAACGGGTCAGTCAGTGGACCGTGACTGACTTGGTTGTGCTACCCTTTTTGTGGTGGTCATTAAATAGATGCGGTCCTTAAGTGAATCAGTAGTTCGCTATTTACACGGTTTTGCCGAAAATCAAAAGCAAGTGCTGGCTTTTAGCAAAACCGTCATAAAACACAGTCACATGACTGTGGGATATTGCATATGGATGTAAATGCAGCCCTGTTGCTCAGCACCCAAAGTGTGTGGCCATGTGACTCCAGAAAGGGACAACAATTAGAACTTGAAATCCAGCTCATAAGTAGCCCCAAGGTAGGTCCATCCTCAATTACAGTTTTTTTAATTACTGTAGCTAAATAATATAAAATACAAAAGCAAGTAGTAGGAGATAAAATGGAGGGAAACCGTCCCTGTCCTATTGTTTCTTTTATTTTTCTTATATGTATCCATGTATTCATAACTATGTTTTTACTTATACCTATTATCTTGTAAGCAATTGACAAACCAAATAAAATAAATAAAACAAATAGGAGGGGAAGGTGTTGACTTCTGACTCCCTGTGTTGCAGTAGAATAAAAAGCAATTATCATCGAGCCTCAATTTTTTTACTTTTCCATAATAGTATAATAGCAATAGAACTTAGACTTATATACCGCTTTACAGTGCTTTACAGCCATCTCTAAGTGGTTTAGAGAGTCATCATATTGCCCCCAACAATCTGGGTCCACATTTGACCGACCTCAGAAGGATGGAAGGTTGAGTCAACCTTGAGATTCAAACTGCCAAATTGCAGTCAGCTGGCAGTCAGAAAGTAGCCTGCTGTACTGCACTCTAACCACTCATAAATCAGCCATTTCTATAACAACAAATCAGTCTAATCAGTAAAACCCCAAATCAAAGTTTCATTTTTTTTCCACCTCAAGCACAAACTTCAGAAGCTGTTTCCAAGTAGAAACAACAGTACATATCTATCTATATCCATCTATCTATCATCTATCTCATCTATCCTATCCTATCCTATCCTATCTATCGTCTGTCTATCTATCATCTATCTATCTATCTATCTATCTATCTATCTATCTATCTATCTATCTATCTATCTATCTATCCCATGGTGGGAATCATGTCCTTCCATTTTTGTGCATTTAGTCTTGCTGCCAACAACATATATAACATTAAAGTTCAAATTATTTTCCCCAAGTCTTTTTTTTTTCATTAAGCCCAAAAGGAAAAAAATCTGGTTTTATCCTTCTTTTCCCTTTAAGAATTTGCTGCATTAGAACAGGAACCCTACTCCAATATTTCTTTGCTTTATCACATAAAAGATAAACAGTCCCTTCTTTACATTTGCATTTCCAACATTCATTTGAAATACCTTTATGCATTCTGGATAACTGGTCTGGGTTTAAATACCAGCGATACACCGTCTTACAGAAATTTTCTTTTAAAATTACAGTTTAATGCGAATTTTAACTAACTTCATCCTATCTTCGAATGGTCACTAAGCAATCGGTCATAAATCGAGGAGTACCTATACCTACTTTTGCAAACTAGTGCTTGGTCCTGATCAAAGCAATTGTCTGAACAGGGGACTTTGCTGCGTAACAGTAGCCTATCGCAGGGGTCTCCAACCTTGGCAACTTTAAGCCTGGCAGACTTCAACTCCCAGAATTCCCCAGCCAGCTTTGTTGAATTCTGGGAGTTGAAGTCCACCAAGCTTAAAGTTGCCAAGGTTGGAGACCCCTGCCCTTATAGGGCCTAGTCATGGCCAACAAGCCAAGCCAGCTCAGTTCCTTGGTCTGTTGTCATGTCATTCTAAGCATTTTGGATGCTGCATATCCACACTGTCCCAACTATTTATAAAGTCCACATTACTATTACTATTAATCTTCTCATCACTCCTTATCACCCATCCCCTCCCACTTGTGACTGTACGGCTGTAACTTTGTCGCTTGTATCCGTACGATCTATATTGACTGTTTCCTAGTATGATTGGATTGCTTATTGTACTCTATGACTATCATTAAGTATTATACCTTATGAGTCTTGACGAATGTATCTTTTCTTTTGTGTACACTGAGAGCATTTGCACCAAGACAAATTCCTTCTGTGTCCAATCACACTTGGCCAATAAAAGATTTCTATTAACTATTCTATATCCAAGTATGTTGTGTTGAGCTCACCGTCTCTTCTTTTTCTGCCTGGCTTTCCAGATTGGGAAAGGGGAATGGAGGTGCCACTGGATATCGTCCTCGCCTACCTACTACAGGGCAGTTTTTATGCCCATTCTATCTATGCCACCCTCTACATGGATGCCTGGCGCAAGGATTCGGTCGTCATGCTCATTCATCACGTGGTCACCCTCACTCTCATCGTCTTCTCCTATGTTTTCAGGTAATTCTCAAGGCTTCGTCCGGTCGCACCATTGGCTGCTCTGCTCCACCGGACTGTCCTGATTGGCTGAGCTTCTGTGACCTCGCAGTGATGTTCACAGTATAGGTAGTCCTCCATTTACGACCATAATTGAGCCCCCAATGTTTCCAAAATATGAGCCATTTGCCAAGCGTCGATTTTAATCACGTGACCATGGGGATGCTGCAACGTTCTTAATTGTGAGAAATGGTCATAAGTCACTTTTTCCAGTGCAGGAAGTCCTCGACTTATAACAGTTTGTTCAGTGACCGTTTCAAAGTTACAACGGCACTAAAAAAATGTGACATGACTTTTTTTCACACTTACGACCATTGCAGCATCCCCGTGGTTACAAATTCAAATGTTTGGCAACTGACTCCTTTATATGATGGTTGCAATGTCCTGGGAACATGTGATCCCCTTTTGTGACCGTCTGACAAGCAAAGTCAACGGGGAAGCCAGATTCACTTAACAAGCAAGTTACTAACTTACCAACTGCAGTGATTCACTTAACAACCATGGCAAGAAAAGTCATAAAACGGGGCAAAACCCACTTAACATATGTCTCACTTAATAAAGCTTGGGCTCAATTTGTGGGCATAAGTCAAGGACTACCTATAGCAGTGGTGGCTAACCTTTTTCGGCTCCTGTGTTGATAATTGCACACACGCTTGCGTGTGCTCGCATGCCAGCACCCAGAAGGCAATACGTGCTGGGTCCCCCCCTCGCCCCCTGCACATGCGCATGACCCCCCCCACCGCACGTCTGCATGCGTGTGTGATTCCCCCCTTGTGCGCCATGCATCTGCGCATGTGTCCACAATTCCCCCTCGCACACCGCACATCTGCACGTGATTTCCCCCTCATGCTTTTTTGCGCATACACGCAAGACTCCTCCTCGCACGCCATTCATCTGTGCGTATGTGCGTATCTCCCGCACACACCCCTCCACCTCCTGAGCATGCACGCCAAGTACCCAACAATCAGCTGTTGGATGGCGGCACGCGCACACATGCACAGTGGGGCTCTTCCAGGCGACCTCTCACGTGTTGTGGAAAATGTCTCTGCGTGCCACTTCCAGCATGTGTGGCATAGGTTTGCCAACATGGACCTATAGTGTTGTAATTTTGAATTATCACTAAACAAATAGTTGTATGTCGAGGACTGTGTGTATAGGGCAGATATTCACGTAAGTTTGCAGTTCAGAGGAGATCAGAATTGCCCGTGTGTGACAGCAGCATCATTTCTATATAGGGCATTCTCTCATTTTGTAAAAAGAATAGGTAATCCTCAATTCACGACATTAATTGAGCCTGCAATTACAGTTGTAAGTTGTCCTCGTCTTTAAGCAGGTTACCACGTGACACCCAATTTTGCAACCTTTTGTTTCGTCGGTCATTAAGTGAAGACCATGGTCATTAAACGAAGACCATGGTCGTTAAACAAACCCATTGCACTCAGTGGACTTTTTTTTTTGCAGGAAACCAAAAAGTATACACGGCCAGTTGTAAATCGAGGACTACCTGTATTCTTATGCAAATCTACTCACCGATGCCAATTCTAGCGTGCAGCAAGACTCTGTATTGTTCTGTTGAAAACCTGCTGTCAATTAAGATGCAGTGACATGATTTTTACCTGGATCGTTGGAGTGAGGAAAATACTGTGGAATAGAATAACAGAGTTGGAAAGGGACCTTGTGGATGGCAGTCCAATCTCTTCTTGAAAGCCTCGAGTGATGAAGCTCCCACAACTTCCGAGGGCAACTTCTGTTCCATGGGTTGATTGTTCTCACTGTCAGAAAATTTCTCCTTATTTCTAGGTTGAATCTCTCCTTGATCAGGCCTCTCATATCTGCGGCCTGCTGAATTGAAAAGCTGGGAGCATAATAACGGCGCTCTTCTTTTCCTCGCAGATACCACAACATAGGGATTCTTGTGCTCTTCCTTCATGACTTCAGTGACATCCAGTTGGAGTTTACCAAACTCAATGTTTACTTCAAGTACCGGGGTGGCATTTACCACCGTTTAAACGACACCATTTCTAATGCCGGCTGCGTCTCCTTCAGCATTAGTTGGTGAGTGTGGTTCCCTCAGACCTCATTTGAGGGTGGTCCTCAGATCTAATGGGACCCCAGCCTACAAAAGGAACTGGAGAAGAATATTATGAATTATTGTAGGTAGTCCTTGATTTACGACCACAATTGAGCCCAATATTGCTATTGCTAGGCAAGGGGATTCCTAAGTGACTTTTGTCCCATTTTTACCTCCTTTCTTGCCACCGTTGTTAAGTGAATCACTGCAGTTGTTAAGTTAGTAATGTAGTTGTTAAATTAATCTGGCTTCCCCATTGACTTTGCCTGTCAAAAGGTTGCAAAAGCTGATCACATGACCCTGCAACCATCATTAATATATGCTACTTGCCAAGCATCCGAAAATTTGGTGGTGGTGTAACTATGAACAGTCACTAAGTGAATGGTTGTAAGTTAAGGACTACCTGTATTTGGCTCTTGCTCCACTTGAATCTTCTGTGGAACATCGTGGCCCCGTCTTCTGCCTTTTTCAGATAGACTGCTCTTAAGCAGAAAGCTTTCTGGTAATTTTAATTAGCAACCAACCCTCTCAGCCATGTGTGCTGAGGTTTCTCCCCACCCTGGTCTAAATTTGCTTCTGCAGCTTTACTGTCCTTTTCCAGGTTCTGGTTCCGTTTGTACTGGTTCCCCTTGAAGGTGCTTTACACGACCTGCCACACCAGCCTCCAGTCTGTCCCCAATATCCCATTTTATTTCTTCTTCAACGTGCTGCTGTTTATCCTCACGCTGATGAACATCTATTGGTTCCTGGTAAGTAAAGGGCTCCTGTCAGAGGCTAGTCCGGCTTTTACCAACTCTGCACCAACCAGTGTGAAGTACAGATAACAGATAACCAAAGTTGGAAGGGACCTTGTAGGTCATCTAGTCGAACCCCCCGCCCAAGAGGAGACTCTATACCCAGTGGTGGCTAACCTTTTTGAACTCCTATGCCAAAAATTGTGCGCACGCTCATGCGTGCATGCTCGCATGCCAGTACCCTGAAGGCAATGTGCACCCCCTGTGCATATGCGCGCAATCCCCCCGCACCCCGCCGCTGCCTCCCTCTTAACTGCACTGGGCCTCACAGTTGATTTTCAGCTGGTTTAAGGCCTTTTTTGGCCTCCCAGAGGCTTGAAAAAAGCCTCTGCAGGCCAAATAGGCCCATTTCGTCACTCCCGGTATTTATAGGGAGTGACGAAATGGGCCTATTCGTCCTGCAGAGGCTTTTTTCAAGCCTCTGGGAGGCCGAAAAAGGCCTCAAACCAGCCGAAAATCAGCTGTGAGGCACGCACATGCGCAGTGAAGTAAGCTTGCCTGCGGCTCACGTGCCAGTACAAATGGTTCTGCGTGCCACATGTGGCATGCGTGCCATAGGTTTGCCATCACGGTCCTACATAATTTCTGACAGATGGGACTTCAATCTCTTCTTGAAAGTCTCAAGTGATGGCGCTCCCACAACTTCCGAAGGCAACTTCTGTTCCATGGGTTGATTGTTCTGTCAGAAAGTTTCTCCTTATTTCCAGGTTGAATCTCTTCTTATTCAGTTTCCATCCATTGTTCCTTGTCTGGCCTTCAGGTGTCTTGGAAAACAGCTTGACACCCCCCCTCCTCTCTATGGCAGCCCCTCAAATATTGGAAGACTGCTATCATGTCTCCCCTGGTTCTCCTCTTCACTAAAATAGCCAGGCCCAGTTCCTGTAACCGTTCTTCATATGCTTTAGTCTCCAGTCCCCTAATCATCCTGGTTGCTCTTCTCTGTACTTTTTCTAGAGTCTCAACATCTTTTTTATCGTGTGAACAAAACTGGATGCAGTACTCTAGGTGTGGTCTTACTAAGGCTTTATAGAGTAGTATTAGTACTTCCCTTGATCTTGACTCTGTTAATACAATTTAGGATTGCATTAGCTTTTTTGGCGGCTGCTGCACACTGCTGGCTCATATTTAGCTGGTTGTCCATAAGACTCCAAGATCCCTCTCACAGTTACTTCTATTGACCCTGGTTTCACCCAGGTAGTCCTTGACTTATCACCATTCATTCAATGACCATTCAAAGTCAAAATGGTATTTTAAAAAAAGTGACTTTAAAGCCATTTCTCATACTTATGACTGTTGCAGCAGCATCCCCACAATTATGTGATCAGACTTTGGCACCCGGGATGCTGAGTTTGTCATTTGTAACCTTCCTAGGTAGCTTCTGACAAGCAAAGTCAATGCTGGAATGATTCACTTAACAACTACGGCGATTCACTTAACAACCATGGCTCAATTGTGGTCATAAATCGAGGACTATCTGTAGTGGTGAAGGTGCCGGATTAGGATTGGGGAGACTCAGGTTTGAGCTCCTGAGGGAATTGTGGCCTGTCCTCCCCTCAGCCCAGCCTACTTCAAAGGGGTTGTTGTAGGAAAAAATAAAAGGGAACGCTATATAAACTACTTTGATCCCCCAAATAAAGGAGGGGATATGTGTGGTTTTATATATCACCCCTTTCTAAAGATTCTGAGTTATTTACAAACAAAAACAATAAAGTACAATAACATTCACAAACATAGATTGCAAAGCCTTCTGCATTGATAAATACAGCTCAGCAAAGTAGAATCCCAAAGAAAATGTCACTGCTAAACAGGCACAAATTCCGCCCAACAAAACCACTTCATTCATTGTGTGGAAGGTTAATAGCAAAGGAATCAGGTGCATCTTTAGGAACCAACTGTTGATCCAGGACTTTGGGGCCACTATTGAGAATACCTGCTATAAAGTCTATATTCCTTACACCCTCTTGGGGCTGCGATCCTACACATCTTCTGAACTCCAACAATAATACAAAACGTATTTATTACCCAACTCTCCATGATTCAGGGTGGTTCACAGGAACGAACAAAGAAATTACAAGATAAAATTAACAAGAAATAGATAAATGTTGGCAAACACAACCATTTCCCTCCCTCCCTCCTCTACAGCCTGGGTGAAGGACCAATGGTTTCTTGGCTTTTCTGAATGACAGCAGTGCGAGCCACTAGATTTTGGTGGGAATCTCTTTCCAGAGGGTAGGCCACAGAGACGCCATGCTTCCAGGGTCCTGAGAGAGAGCCTGTGGTTGTGCATATGTGGGTGTAGTTATAGACCTAGTAAATATAATTGTGCTCTTCATGGCCCTTTTACAGGTAGTCCTTCACCTACGACCACAATCGAGCCCAACATTTCGGTTGTTAAGTGAGACAGTTAACTGAGTTCTGCCCCATTGTGCGACCTTCCTTGCCACCGTTGTTAAGTGAATCACTGCAGTTGTTAAGTTAATAACCCGGTGGTTAAGTGCATCTGGCTTCCCCTTTGACTTTCCTCCTCAGGAGGTGGCAAAAGGTGATCACACCTTTTACTGCAGTGATCATAAATATGAACCCGTTGCGGAGCATCTGAAGTTTGTTCGTGCGACGATGGGGATGTTGCCAGGGTCATCGGTGTGAAAAACGGGCACAAGCCCCTTTTTTCAGTGCTGTTGTAAATTTAACGGTCGCTAAATGAATGGCAGTGAGTTGAGCACTAGCTGTAGCCAGTTGTTAACTGAATTGTTTTACACTCACATGGTTTTGCATAGAACTAAAGGGTGGCTCAGTGGCTAAGACGCTGAGCTTGTCGATCAGAAAGATTGGCAGTTCGGCAGTTCGAATCCCTAGCGCCGCGTAACGGAGTGAGCTCCCGTTACTTGTCCCAGCTTCTGCCAACCTAGCAGTTCCAAAGCATGTTAGAAAATGCAAGTAGAAAAATAGGGACCACTTTGGTGGGAAGGCAACAGTGTTCTGTGCGCCTTTGGCGTTTAGTCATGCCAGCCACATGACGACGGAGACGTCTTTGGACAGCGCTGGCTCTTCGACTTTGTAATGGAGATGAGCCGCGTCCCCTAGAGCTGGAAACTACTAGCACGTATGTGCGAGGGGAACCTTTACCTTTACTTTACTGTTCCCACAGGAAGTAACCCGAGATGTGTGTCTTGCCTTTGATCGAATTTTCTCCCGCAGCAGACTGATTCTAACTGCCCAGATCACACATCAGCCTCGTGAAGTAGGCTAGGCTAAGAGAGACTCTTAAATCATCCCATACCATTGAATGTAAACCTGAATCTGAGAATGGATATATCCCCATGTGCTAAATGGCAGGTTGATGAAGGAGGTAAGAGGCCAAAAAAGCACGATGGGAAAATCTGTGATCCAGCAAAGCTGATTGGGTTTCCCCCCTCTTCTCCTCTCGGCAGTACATCGTTGTTTTTGTGGCCAAGATTTTGCTGGGACACGTGCAGGAAGTGAAGGATGTACGGGAATATGATATTGATGCTGCTTCTAAGAAGACAGACAAGGAGCTTCATCTCCACAACTCTTGGAAGGAAGGGTAAGTAAGTCCAGAAGCGACGGATGTTGTGGCCTGTCAGCTGCAGGCCCCTCTGGCAGCCAAATCAGATGAGGAGGCAGAGCGAGAGTCGGGGCCAGCATCAAGGCAGTCTGAGAGCTCTGAGGGGGAAGTGGGAATCGAGCTGTCAGAGATAGAGATGAAGGCGGATGCCTGGGCTGTCCGTCAGCCCCCAGATGGAGAATCAACACTCTCCAGGTCCAGATGTGGCTGATGAGGAATAGCAGGAACAGCTGTGTCCATCCCTGACACACAAGTGCGCAGAAGGGAGAGGAGAGGAGAGCAGCAGGACTCTATGGGCTGGTCCTCAGGATGGAAGAGCTACCGCTGCTAGCTAAGACCCGCCTTAGCTCTGGGGGGGGGGGAAAAGGCAGGGGGCAGAGACGAATAGGTGTAGCAGACAGCTATTCGTTTCCCTGTTGGTCAGCCACTGATAGTCCAAACTTCTGAATCCTTTCTGGAACTGTATTGGAATTCTTTCTTGGAATCTGTGGCGCTGAGTTGGGTGCGCCTTTGGGGTGTGTGTGTGTGTGTGTGTATCTCCGCTACTGGCAAAAGAGCAGGTGCACCTTCCAGGACTTTCATTACGAGTGTGGTTAGTAAGAGAGACTCCTGTTGTGTTGCGACCATTTCAAATTATGGTGGCACTGGAAAAAGTGACTTACGACCAGTCCTTGCACTTATGACCATCGGTATTCCAGCGGTCACATGATCAAAATCCAGGCACTTGGCATATATTTATGACATTTATAGCATCCCAGAGTCATGTGATCACTATTTACAACTTTCCCAGGAGGCTTCCAACCAACAGCTAGTGGGGGAAGTCAAATTGGTTTAATGACCATGGCAAAAAAAGGTTGTAAAATCAGGCAAGGCTCACCTAACAACCGCATTGCTTAGTGACTGACGTTTTGGTTCCAACGGTGGCCGTAAGTCAAGGACTACTCATATTAGAGGCGATTCCAGGGCCACGCCCACAGATGACTCGGGGCATGGCACAAAGGCAACACAGTCAAATAAGCAAGAAGAGTCCCTTTAATATCTCCAACTTTGCCCCCAATGTCCATGTTGCCTTCGGCTGGAGAAAAAATTCTCCCAAGAACAGTCTTTAAGTGGAGGAAATTCAGTCCGAAAACAAAGTACATACAAACTGTAAATAAAAATCCATACAAACCACACTGTAGTAATTAACTTGACAGGGCAGGATAAGGAATTGAAAGGCCAGCAAAACACACACAATTGGGAAGATGCCAGGAACCCAGATAAGCCTCCACAATACCAGAAAACTCACAATTTGCTTCCAACATCTTTGCTTCCCTTTTTAAACACTGTATTCCCAGCTGCAGCTAATGAAGGGAATCAGGGCCCTTTCCTCCCCCGTAAGCCACGCAACTCATGTTGCTCCCTTCTCCGTTCCTCCCTGTGTGCCCTAGGATGAAGAGGGGGTGGGCCTGGATCTTCCTCCGAATTTCCTCTGCCTTGCTCTACCTCTCCCCTGCTCGGCCCAGTTGGACTTTGCCCTTCCCCAGTTTCTTCCACAGCCAACAGAGCCACACTCCCAGTCAGCTGTTCAACCTCCCTCTCCGAATCAGATTCTGACAGGGGCATGACACCTACTCATCTGCATGGCCATGCCCGAGGCAATGGTCAGAAGGCACAACCGAATAGCAAAAGCTGATTTTTTCCCCCCACTAGTTGTCGTTTGTTTCTCCTCCGTAGAAATCACCTGAAGAATGGCATCGTGAAGGACAAACGGTTATAGAGGCGCTCGCAGGACCACGCTTGCACAGAGCCAAATTCTGGAGAAACCCGCAAGGAACCCTTCATTCAAACTCCAGCCTGTTCAGGGGTGAACTGAAGAAAATAAGAACTGCCACCCTATCCCGCCCAGGGTTGAGAACTAAGTTCTAATCGGGGAGCGATTTATAAATTTTCTTTTTCTTAAAAAAAACAACAACAACCCTGGAGTTGGATTTCAAGCTGGATTTCCATTAGCAGCGATGGAAACTAGAAGTAGGAAGGAGGCCCATGACGCTTCGTTTAGCCCAGTCAGGTTGGAGCAGGGCATTCACACACACACACAAACATACAAACACACACACACAAAAGCTGCTTCCATCCTCTGGTGCATCAGTGGCGCCTAGTAGGAAAAGTTTCCCACCAGGGCGGAGAGATGAGGAACTTGTCAAGTTTTCTGTGGCTTCTGCGCAGCAGGGCCTTCTCAGTGATGGCCCCAAGAAGGCGAAACTTTTCCCCTTGGTTCAGGACTCCTGATTGGTTGAAGAGAAAATAAGAAGGTGGGGGGGAGCGGAAATCCCTTCAGGATCTCCAGCTGGCAAAACCAATGGTAGAAGAAGCACATGTGCGAATCGATGAATTTTCAGCCTTGCAAGTTGGGGTTGGAAAGGAGTATCCCACAATGCCTTGCGGCACTTTTTACCCCCTCCCCTTCCCTTTTCTAAATCATGTTTGTTTCCCCCCACCCCCCCTGCCCTTTGTTCCGGTTGGGAGAGGAAAAAAAGGGCGGCGGTAGTGTTTTGTCTTAACTGCGTGTATTGGAGAAGTTGTATATAAAATAAGGCTTGGATTCACAAGATGGTGGTGTTTTCTGAATGGTCTTTGAAAACAGGTTTTCGTTTATATAGAAATATTTACACGATGGGATGCACCGATCCATATTCGGGTTTCATTTCACAACTCCCAGACTCCTTATCGATCCCTGTCGTTATTTTCCAGGCAGTGGTACCTCCCTGTCAGAGGCAGTCTACCTCTCTCAAAATTGAGGCATAATTTTGGATTAGGAGAGAACAAGAAACCGCAAGCAAGCCGACCTGGTACCTGACTGCTGGGTGATTTTTTTTTTTTCCTTGATGCCATTTAAAGGGTTTTGATTGGGTTGTATTTTTACCATGCTGGCTGAGGGATTCTGGGAGTTGAAGTCCACTCATTTTAAACTTGCCAAGATGAAGAAACGGGAATAGGCATGATGGTGATAGTGTCACAAAACTCGGGGTGGCTACAATCATATGTTTGAACTTCTATTCCCCCACCCTTTTTTTTTTTTGTACCCAAACCATAATATGACAGGGTTTCAGTTGCATGATTGTGGATATTTTCTCGTAATTTTTGGCACTTTTCTCCCCGGACATCCCAGTCTTAAATAGAATCTTCTTTTTTAAGAATGAGCTACCATATCTGGAAAGTTCAGAGCGGTGTTTCTCAACCTTGGCAACTTTAAGATGTGTGGACTTCAACTCCCAGAATTCCATGCTGGCTGTTGGATTCTGTTCTGATCCAAGCCTCGTTCAAATCAAATCAAATCAAATGCAAAACAGATAAAAGCAAAACCTCTTTAATGCATCTCTGTAAATTCTGTTAATTCACAGCAAAGCGCTATTAAAACTAATTGTCCCAGATAACAGCAAGCCCTGTCAAGGTTGTGCAAGGCTGCCAAGAACACAAGATTAAGTGCAAGAAATATTCAAAGCCAAAAGTCTCTGAAAACAAACTGATAAGACTGAACTTCCACGAGGACTTGAAGTGTAAGAACTTTGCTTCCTGCAAAGAATCCCATCTCTGAGGGCTGGTTTTTATCCCTTCTGGGAGGGACCATCACCTTCCAGCCTTACTCCTGAGTCGCCTGTGCTGCTGCAGCTGCTCTTTCCTACGAGCAGCCCTGTGCGCATATGTGCTGGGCACAGGCTCCTCGGGGGCCTCTTCATCACTGCTGCCAGACTCCACAAGCTCCAAAGGCAGCACCCCACTCCCTGATGGTCCTGGCCCCATCCCTGCATCACATGCAAGCCCCTCATTCAAGTCCTCACTCTCCGAGACCTCAGCCGTCCGTACCTGCTGCCAGCGAACCACAATAAATTCTGGGAGTTGAAGCCTACACATCTTAAAGTTGTCAAGTGTGAGAAGTATTGTTTACAGCAGGGGTCCCCAACCACCGGTCCGCGGACCGGTACCGGTCCGTGGAACAAGTCCTACCGGGCCGCTGGTTTGCTGGGCGCCGCCATCTTGTTTTGATGAAAAAGTGCTTCCGGTGAGCTTGGCTTTCTACCCGGAAAAGCTCACCGGAAGCGCTGGGTGCCGCCATCTTGTTTTGATGAAAAAGTGCTTCCGGTTAGCTCATCGGAAGCACTTTTTCATCAAAACAAGATGGCGGCGCCCAGCTGATGCCGGTACCGGGCCGCGCCATAAAAAAGGTTGGAGGTACCGGGCCGCGGCATAAGAAAGGTTGGGGATCACTGGTTTACAGGATAGGTGTCAAAATTGCCATGTCACGTTGCCATCATGTGATGTGTTTTTCCCCATTTGCGGAGCTGGATTGGGCGTGGCCTGTGCATAACGCATCCGACCTGTGGGCCGATAGTGTGTGACACACCCCTGGTTTAGAGCCTGCTGTGGCTGCTCTCACAAAATGGTGTTGCCGATGCATGAAAGAGCTACCAAGGTTTGCATTTCTCATCCCATCCATTTACCAGAAGGCAAACTGCATAGTGAGGCTGGCCTTTGCTACCATCTTGTGACTGGCCCCATGGCAGCATTTCCAGACAGGATTGCAACCACCTACCACGCTTTAAGTTTCAAGAAAGGTTCTTAGGAAATTTTTGGAAATAAAAGTGTATGCCAGGGACTGATCATTTGCATTCCTTTTTTTTAACTTTTTTTGTAAATTACATATACCATTTATATACAATAGGCATAAGTAATTTACATGCATACGTGCAGATTGTCCTTCATTTACAATCAGTTGGATAGCAACCATTGAAGTAACAATGGACCTCCCTGCACCCAAACATAGCTTGTAACAGAATAACAGTTGGAAGGGACCTTGTAGGTCATCTAGTCCAACCCCCTACTCAAGCAGGAGACCGTACACCATTACTGACAGATAGCAATCCAGTTGTCTTCAAAGCTTTCAGTGATGAAGCTTAAATGCTTATCACAAAGTTACAAGCACTACACTACTCAGTTGTTTCCTCTTAAAACTGCTACATACATTACGCCTCTCCCCCACCTAAAATACTGCCACACCAGTTTCCCACAGGCCTTGGGCCTGCTTCGCATCCTACTGGGCCCCACACCATCTTCCTTGCTTAACTTTCAAAAAAGCTCCAGAGCTGGGGTTAAGAAAGGAGAGAGTGCTCCATTGCTCAGCTTCATGACATGTTCCTGAAAGTGGCTGCCATTTTTGAGGTAGCCACATTGAACTGGGTGTGGGGCCCAGTCGAGTGAGAAGCAGGCCCAAGGCCTGCGGTGACCCAAAGGAAAAGGATCAAAGGAACCAGAGCACAGGGCACTTTGGGGTGGAGGAAGGCCAGAGCAGGGCCTGCGCTAGGCCTCGAGGCACCCCATACTCCACTTAATGACCTACACATTCATATAACGACCCCATTAGGGAGAGGAGAGATGGAGGGGATCATAAATGAGGTGATTACATGGATGCTTTATTTAACAGTCATCACGACTTTCAACTGTAATGGGCAGGCTCCATTATGGTCCTAAATTGAGGACTACCAGGGACTATGATCCACATTTAATCTGAATGCAAAGCCAGGTAGGAAGGGGACATGGAATCCAAAATGTGGACTGAGAAAAAGTCAGGGGCACGGCAAGGCCAACAATGAACTTTGCTTCCACTACATGCAATTAAAATGAATCAAGTATAGTTCAGTATGATTTTAAAGGGAAAGATTCTAAGATCATGCTCGCCCAAATACGCGTTAGTTTTTTGGCAGCACCACAGAAATGGTTTACTATTGCTTTTCTGGAGTTTTTTTCCTCATATAACTAAGTTTTAACCTGGATACTTTTTCCTTTTTTTTTTTTTTTTTGCAACCAATGAAATTGCTGCCATCTGCTGTGATTTAATCCATACGTATTTAGAATTTCCCTTTTCACACCAGAATGCTACTGTGAGCATTAAGGCGTTGAGTTGTGCTTAAAAATTTGTTTACTCGCAGCCATGGAATTCCTCTCAGGAGCCAGTCTTTAGCCTAGTTTCTCCCCATTACGGCTGCTAAAAGGTTAAAATCATTATGCTAGCATTAAGCTGGGAAAAAAATTCAATAAAATTTTGGAATGTTTCCAAAGGTTTTAAAACAACTGCAATACGGTGCAGGTCAAAACTGTGCGTCTCATCGTAGGCAGTATTTGCAAGTGATACTCATTCAATTCACATGCTATCCCAAACATGTTTTTTTTCCAAAAGGCAACTAGACATGGTTTTTTTTTTGCTTCTCATCCAAGGCGTTTCTTCAGTTCTGAAGTTCTTAATTGAAGAAGTGAAACATTGTCAAAGAAAAAAATGTCCAGTTTTTTTTGTTTTTGTTTTTTGAAAAAGCACATTTGGGACAACCATGACCTGGATGATTGAGAATCTCCATGAAGAGATTTTAAAGAGCTCAAGGAAGATTACATATTGGAGGGGAGGGGGCTCCCTTTTATCCCAAGAGTTTTGTAGGCTGTGCTGAATGTGTGATTTTAACCTTCTGCACTTGAAGGGGGATTTCAACCTGCATCTCCTCATTTCTAGTCAAGCATCTTCCCCACTAGATCCCATTTATTGGTTGGATGCATCATACTGCTCATGCACAAAATTCTTTCCTGCTCTGCTTTATCTTCACATCAGCCCTGTGAAGAGTTTCATGCCCGAACACAGATTTTTAAAAGCATTCTCTTTCACCAACAGATCACATAGCATTGTGGCTTAGTAGGAACATCTGTAACCCCACAGAATGGTATCCCTCCACAGCCCCTCTATCCAACCAAAAATATTTATTTATCTGATTTGTCAGTCGCTTACAAGATAATAGGTATTAAGAATAAACATGAGTATGAATACAGGAAATAGGTATGAATAAATGGGGACAACAGGACAGGGATGGTAGGCACAATTGCGCACTTATGCACGCTAAGGCATATATACTGGTGCAGCTGGCTGCAACTATCCTTTGGGGGCAGAACTGCACCAGGGACCCAAGGCCAGAGGTTGACAAGGAAGATGGGGGGTTTTTTTTGGTGAGACTTCCACACGATGGAAAAAATCCTGACTTTGATGTCTGCAAAGTTTAGGTGGATTAGATGAAAAGGGGTTGGAGTAGCAGCAAATTTGCAATCTGCAAGATTACGGCCACAAAGGGCTTTGAAGTGCGTAAGTAGGGCATTTTTTTTGTTTTTTTGCATGGGAATGGGGTGCATCAGGGAGATGTGAAGATTCATTGCACCAAAAAAAGGGGGGGGAGGCCTCAAAATGGCATTTCCGGAGACATCAAGGTGGGCAAGAATTCCTTCCAGAGGCTGTGAGGTAGATCAGAAAGGATGCTGGAGTAGGAAATGGGAGGTGCATGTTGCAATCTATCCTCAACCATAGAGATGGTTGAGATACCTGGAATTTCAGGATCCTGCCTCCCTCCAACCTACCCCAGAAGATAACTGTGAGAGGGGAAAATGGGAGATACAATATTCCCTTGCTTGACATCTTGAACTACAGATCTAATCAACCAAGTTTCTGAAAACCACTGGCCAGTTTTGGAAAGC